GAGTTCTTCTTTTACTTGATCCCCTTGGCTTGATCAGCCTGCTTTTTTTTATAGTCCAGGGCCACCAATTCAATTATGGCCATACCCACAATGGTCTGGTACTTTACCCAATTAATCGCTAATTAAATGTCCTAGAGGCTTGCCTACAGGCATGTCTTGTGAAAGCATTTCCAAAATTGAGTTTACTTCTCAGATGACTTTGACTTATGGCAAGTTGATATAAAATTATCCAGGACACTCTCCCTCTCAAACACATGACCTCTTTATTATTACACACATATGTAACCTCCTGAGTCCATTTAGTGTTGCTTGTATGTAAGTAGGTTTTCTCCTCTCAGGTGGTCAGCCCTAAAATCATCTGGAGGCTTGTCTCCACAACAGACTGATTTCTCCTTTTGTTAGTAGACATTGATGGTCTGTAGCTCTTAATGTAGAGTGTGTCCTTGTGATGTTTCCACCATCCTTGTTGGCAAGCCAACCGGAGTTTTCATTTCTCAGATTTTGTCTAGGCAACCATACTGTTGGGAATTGGGGCTTTCCAGACCAGACAGGCCTGTAACAACTACCTCACAGCAGAAGTCTTGACCCTTCTGGCTCTTCCAATCTTTTAATCCCTTGGCTTGCAATGAACTGTGAGCCTCAGCTGTAGGGGTTGTACTATACAGAGTGGATTTTTATTTGGATAGCCCATGGTCAGTTACTCTCTTCATTTTGACCAGTTGTAAGTTTCTTGAATAGATTCTGTCCCTCGGAAAGAAGCTTCTTTGAGAGCTTACACTTAAGGATGCATATAAGGAGCCACATCTAGAATATTATTAGAGATTTAAATAGTTTAACAAAGTGATAATAGTAGGTTTTTGTCTCTCAGATCCATGGTCTTTTCAGCCACAGGAAGTTGGCCAGCTTTCCAATCCCAGGCTTAATTTCCTTCTGTTGAGTGGAACTTCATCCAATATGATAGCTGTTGGTTACTTCCTGTATAAAAGTGCCACTACTGCACCACTGTGGATATCTTGCTGGGGTGGTCATTGCTGTGCTTCATGAGCAGCCAGAGTGTATTTTTCTAACAGCCTTGGCTTGATTAACCCTGGGATGCTTGTAAGCAGGATTACTAGAAGGAAGTGGTCAGGTGAGGCTACTACTTCTCTACATGAGACAAAACTACAACGCTGATCCTGTTCAGCTTCATAATACTGACAAGTGGTGGCACCCTTTAACAGCTCAGTTCGCAGAACAGGGAACTAGACTGGGTGAAATAATTTAAGAGTCTCTGAAATGTATTGGGGAACTTTTCTACCTGATTTTTGACATGTGTCTTGTCTGCCTTGAAAGGTCTGGCTATAGACCATATTTATTCGAGAAACTCCACTGGGATTATGTAAGCTGTAAAATGAGACACCATTTAGGAAGTAGGCTGCACACATGTCTCTTTGAGTCAAGGACCAAGTATGAATGACTTTATTGCCTACAGTGAAACAGAAGCATTCCATATGCTTATATCTCCTGAAGTTAAGCTGATTTCAGGAATGCCTGTCTAGAGCAGGCATGGATTTCTGTCCACTATTTTCTACGCATATGACACACAGATTCGGGGAATAAACTCAGCACTTGGGGCTTAAGATTCAAAGCTTTGATGAATCAAGTAGCCCAAGAAACGACTCAAACTTTTTATGTTCTTGAAAGTGGGCATGCATGGTTTACAGGTGACCCCCTCCCCTCATCCTTGCCTAAGAAAATGTTGATGTATGAGAAGGAATGTGGCTCAATTCTCAGGTGTGGAACTACAAGCTTCAACATGGTGTGAGTTCTGTCTCTGTGTGGTTCCTTATGATGAAAGACTTGATACATGTTCAAGATTCCTGTGCTTCTCTGTAGCTGCCCATAGTTCTAAAGTGTTGGTAACTGATGCCAAAATTACCAGTTTGTCTCAACTCAGCCTTTTGGTGCTGAAAATCAGAAGGGTGATCCTTGTAGCCAGGTATCCTGTACTTATAAGAGGTTATCAGCATCCTTGGACTACTCTTCCTAGTTACTCCTAGCACATCCAGATGTGAGAAGAGGAAAGTTTTTCCTTCCTCACTGCTACAATTTTTCAGGGATACCATCTCTTCTTAGTTTGGGAAAGCAAGCTCAGGGATGTTCCTAGACCTCCTAGATGTTTCCAAGTCACCAATAGGCTTTCATGGGTGGGATTCTGAATAGTTGTGCATTTTTACATTATGTTAGAATTAGGGGAAAGTATATGCTTATCAAATACAGATGATTCCCTCACCAGAGCTTGGGCCCTTCCTTCCTCTTAGTTTACTTCCTATGGTGTACAAGAGGCTTCTCATCCATTATTTCATTTTGAAATTCTTGCCACTTGATATTGATCACGAAACTTGAAGACATGGCACTGAACTCTACTATGCTGACCCCTGCTTGCACATATTTCTGCCCAGGGTATGGATCTGATGTTATAACCCGACCCCCTGGTTCATATGTACTTTGTGTAGATGCTGAGGGAAAGACTAGTGAATGCTGTATGTCTGGAATGGACTGAAGCTGTGATTGATGGGTATCTACACAAGGAACGGTTTGTATGAAAGTCATAATTTGTCATGGGGGACCAAAAGGCACATAGCTGGAAACTCTTATCACTTAAATTTCACCAGAGAACAAGAGGCATTGATACATGACAAGTACACATTTGCTCTACATGATAGTGGCTGTGGTTGGATGCTCAAAAAGGCAGGCTGGGCCATGATTATCTCTGTTTATAAAAAAAATCCTATAGATTTATGATCTCCTTACTCCAGTCATAGAAAACAAAATCTCTATAGACCAAACATTGTTCTAGAAGGGAATTTGTGAACAGGAGAGGTGGCCATTTGGGAAATTGCCTGCATGTCTATGTGGAAGTGGTATGAATTATTATATAGCATGCTATGTGGACTTTGCTTGTTTAATGTCTTCATTGTCCATCCCTAAAAACCTCATGTCTAGATTCCTACTTTCAGGACAATGTTTGGATGTTGGTTGTGTTTAGGAGTCTCCTTGGAGTCACACACAAGTCAGCTTTGGTTGTCTTATGATTTCAGTCAGAGTCTTAATTTTTAGGTAGAATTTAGCTTTCACTTTGAAGGCCATGACATAGATCCTTCCAGGTTTCCTTGGATCTCTGGATCTTATGCCATTTGGAATATAAATTATTTTCACAGGTTTGTGTGGTGCTGGTGGCTGCAGGTTGAGTTTCAGAGCTAGAAGCTCTGGGAAGGTTATCTAAGCCTGGGCGGTGTAGAGACTTCAGGAAGCTTCTTCTGAAGGTCCCGGGTTCTATCCCTTTGGGACTGTGTCAGGTGACCAGGAGCATAGTGTTCTTCAGGAGCAGGAGAAAGTGCTGGTTATGGAAGTACTTTCAAGCCTCAAAGGATGTGGGAGTTCAGTTTGTGTCCTTTTTGTGTGGACTATTTGCCACAAGCAAGGATTTCAGAACATAATAGGCACTGACAAGTGAAGTTCTATGAGCACTATGTCCAGCTGCACAATACAGCCTGAATGTAGACTTTCACAATAGCATCTCTGTTGGAAGTATCAGTGTTTCCCCCTGTCACAGAGGTCTTAGGACCATTGCTCTTCTTGGTAATCCTGTGAAAGTAAAGGGCATTAGCTTTCCAACCTTGAGTGCCATGCCCTGGTCTCTTCTAAAGTCCAGCTTGGAACTGACTCTAGAAAGGGTTTTGGTCAGTGATGGCCTGGAATTAAGGAAGGCAGAGTCCATATCTAGGTTTTCAATAGGAGAGCACTTGTTTGGGACCATGGAGTTTGAGATCCTGGAACCTGTCTAGCATTCCACTGTCTTCACAGCCTTTTGTGGGAAGTTCTCTCTAGATTAGTTTCCTTGTCACACTTTATCATTGTATTAAAGTTGTCTGCAATGTATCTTTCTAGATGTTCTAAGTTTATATCCAAACAGTATTCCATAATTTAACTGCTATAGAAACTTTGGTAATGCATAGCCCTATCTGGAAGCCTTGTCTGATTTGCTCTTCTAATGGCTGCCATTGTTGGAGACCGACTCTGGACAGCTGTGTCTTGAACCTTGTGTTACCTTCCACGATTTATCAAGCCTCCTGTAAATAAGAGGCTTTTAGTCTAACCTAGGAATGTAGGATTAAATAAACCTCTTTAAATCAGCTAGCTGCAGGGGCCTGGGACCAAAGCGACCT